AAAGAAAGAAAGGAAGAAAAAGAAAGATAGGACTTGTCACTGCATTTGTTATAAGAAAGTATTGAGCCCCCTTTTCTTGTCCCAGATGTCTTATTGCTTGTCTTCTTCAAAACAGCCCTACAAACTGGTTACTGTTATCATCCCCATTTATAGAGAAACCAGGACTTAGAAGGATTAAGTAATTCACTCAAGGCCACACATGTACTCAGTGCCAGAGCCAGGACATCCCCAACACCCAACACGCATGCTCTTAAGATGGCACAAAACCCGGGACCAGCAGTTGGCATAATGGCTATGTCGCTGGACTCCCACCTAGGCGACCACGGTTTGCATCCGGTGGCATAAAACTCAATGCCAGGCGCGTGTGCGTGTGTGCCCAAGATACTGAAAGGAGAATGGAGGAGAAGGGGTTGTGGCGTGGCCATAGCACGTGCCCTATAGCTTGGCGTGGCCAAGCACACGTGCCCTATAGCAAAAACCTCTTTAAAAAAAAAAAAAGATGGCACAAAACCCAATGAGAATGACACAAGATGATGTAAGGGAAACTTCTGGCACAGTGCCTAAGACAGAGCCAACACTTGTAAAATTGTGCTCATTTTCCAATCGTAGTGACGCTGGTGATATAATGCAGTTTTATATGAAAAGAGGTAATACTCTTGGTACATTTTATTTTGTAGTTGCTTTCCTTCCTTAGTGAAGGAGAAAAAACTCTAAATTCTGTCTTGTCTGCCAAACCAGAGGTGAGGGACAGATGTCTTCCTTCGGCCCTTTCTTTCTTTCTTTTTCTTTCTTTCTTTTCTAATTGCCTTTGGGCCCATGTTCTTGTTTGAGAGAAGAGAGAGAGACAGGGAGAAAACATCTCCAATGAGGCATAGTTAGACCTCAATCTCTTCTCCTTCGTTTCTCCTTTCCTTTGGGATTTGGGGCATTCACACACCTACACCTAACATGTTTTTCAAGCCACCAGGGCCTGGATTCAAACCAGAGCCATATAGGATCCAGCTCCCCTAACCACTAGGTCGTGGGAGGGACTGCACTTGGGTACCAGAAGTGGACTTTGCCATGAAACATTCAGCTATTGCTTCTGCAGTTTCTCTTTAATGCGAGGTCATTTGAGAAGGATTTTAGAACCCACATCCTGGAGGGGGAGCACAGACTGTTACAAGCTTTCTGAAAGAGCCGTGTCCTTGAACCCAGCAACTTTACTTCAAGGACCTACAATCACAGATATGTCAAAGCATTTAGCTTTTAAAATATGCATCACAGGATTGTTTTTAATAGCAAACAAAATGGAAAACATTCAATGTCTAAAAATAGGAGATCATGGGATGCCTTTTCATTTATTTTTACATCATACTCAATTTCTTTTTTTCAGTTTTTCATATTTTTCCATGTAGAGTTATTTATTTCTTTGGTTAAGTTTATTCCTGGGTACCTTGGCTAAGAAAAAATTAATGTAATCAAAATGTCCATTCTACTGAAATTAATTTACATATTCATTGTGATTCTGACCCAGTTAACAGTGACATTCTTCACAGAAATAGAAAAAAATGATAAAATTTGTCTGGATTCATAAAAGACCCCATATTACCAAGGCAATACTGTATAAAAATAATAAAGTAGGAAATATCTCAGTATCCAACTTCAAAATATATTACAAAGCAATGATAATCAAAACAGCATTGTACTGGCACAAAAATGGACATATAGATCAATGGAACAGAAGAGAGAATACGGAAATAAACCCCAAATCATACAGTCAACTAATCTGTGACAAAGAGTACAAGACAATGCAGTGGAGAAAGAAAGTCTTTTCAGCAAATGGTGCTGGGAAAACTGGATATCCACCTGCAGAAAATAAAACTGGATCCCTATCTATCACCGTTAATAAGAATCAACTCAAAATGGACCAAAAACTTAAATGTAAAGCCTTTAACTATAAAACTACTACTAGAAAACTTAAGTAAAATGCTTAAAGACCTTGGAGTAGGCAAAGATTTCTTAACTAAGACCCCTAAGACATAGGCAATAATTGCAGAAATAGACAAGTAGTATTACATCAAGCTAAAAAAGTTTCTTCACAGCAAAGGAAATAACCATGAGAGTGAAGATAACAACCCTCGGAATGGATCAAACATTTGCAAATTATGCCTCAGTCAAAGGATTAATAACCAGAATATATAGGGAACTCAAGCAGCTTACTCATTAAAAAAAAATTTTTTTAAGAATAATTCAATTTAAAAGTGGGCAAATGAGCTGAACAGACAACTCACCAAGGAAGATATGTGAATGGCCAAAATGCATTTGAATAAATGTTCAACATTACGTATCATAAGGGAAATACAAATCAAAACCACAGTGAAATACCACTTAACCAAAGTCAGAATGGTTATGATAAAAGAATAAAGAATGACAGAACGCTGGTGAGGCTGTGGTGAAAAGGGAATCCTTTTACACAATTGGTGGGAATGTATTGATAAATTTATACAACCAGTATGGAAAACAATATAGAGATTTCTCAAAAGCCTACAAATAGAACTACCATATGACCAAATAATCCTATTCTTTGGTATTTACCAAAAAAGGAAAACACTCAATTGGAAAGAAACTGGCACATTTCTGTTTATTGCAGCATTGTGTACAATCGCTAAAACATGGAATCGACCTAAGTAACCAAGTACGGATGACGGTATTGAATAACTGTGGCACATAGACACTATGAAATACTTACTACTCAGCCATAAGGAACAATGAGATTCTGTCATTTGATTCAAAGTGAATAATACAGAAGACTTAATGCTAAGCAAAGTAAGCCAGTATTTGAAAGACACACACTGTATATTCCCACTCAATATATACTTAATATCTTCACTTTATGACAAAAATTGACAGACCTGCCTGAAGATAAGATAGTAGGGAGGATAAATGTAGATAAAAGAGACTGTAAGGGAGCGAGAGGAGGAGCAAAGGGGAGATGCAGAAGAGAAAGAAAGTCTTTTCAGCAAACGGTAATGGAAAAACTAAATATCCACCTGCAGAAAGTGAAACTGGGCCCCTATTTCTCACCATTAATAAGAATCAACTTAAGGGACCAGCAGTTAGCGTAATGGCTATGTCGCTGGACTCCCACGTAGTCGACCACGGTTCACATCCTGGACCCGGTGGCTTAAGACTCATGCCAGGCGTGTGTGCATGCGTGCCCAAGATCCCGAGAGGAGAACGGAGGAGAAGGGATTGCAGCATAGCCATCCCCCCTGGGGGGGTGATTTCTCGCTTTCTGTCTCTCTGTCGCTCTCTATCTGTCTGGCGAGCGCACGCACCCTATAGCAAAAACCTCTCCAAAAAAAAAAAAAAGAATCAACTCAAAATAGATCAAAAACCTAAATGTAAAGCTTTAAACTATAAAACTACTCCTAGTAAACTTAAGTAAAATGCTCAAAGACCTTGGAATAGGCAAAGATTTCTTAACTAAGACCCCTAAAGCACAGGCAGTAATCCCAGAAATAGACAAGTAGCATTACATCAAGCTAAAAAGGGAAGATGGGGGGGAGGGGAAAAGGGGAAAAACACTTAACAGACAAAAAACAAATTGGAAATTTCTCTGTTGAAAATGATGTATATGGTATTATTCTTGATTTGATTGTCATGTATTACAAGCATACTTTGAAAAACCATAGTTATTTCCCCTGCATGGTGTTAACTTCCATATTGAACTCCTAGCCTCTCTGCTGTCGATTGCTGAATTTCAATGGAGAACTATTTTCTGGTTTCGGCCTACGACGAATCATCCTCAGACCCATTGGTTTGGGAATAGGGATAAGGCGCCAAGAGGCCTCACTGTTGTCCACACAACCATTAAATTACCTTTTTGAATACTAGGTCATAATCCAAACCTACTCTCTGAATCAACCAACCTAAAATTGGGCCTCCTTGTCAGAGTTCTAGCTTTTCTGTCTTTTTCGAAGGACGACATCCTCTTATTTTCATGCTGAGACTCACTTTTAGTTTTCCAGATGCCTGTCAAAATCTCTGGTTCTGCTCACCCTCACTATTCACTTTCATGTATGTGGATGTCTTCTCACATTTCACTGGTGTCTGGGGAGCAAGAACAGCTAAATGTGTGCTTGTTTTTCCATTGAATCCAATTCCCATTGAATCCGATTCCCATTGAATCCGAAGTCCTTTGTATTCGTTTTCCTCCTCCCAACTTTCTAAATTGAGTATGTGGCATTCTGTTCATAAGAAGAAAAATAACAACAAAAGCTCTTCTTAAAATGGACGGGCTTTGGAAATATGTCCTTACCGGGCACAAAAGAAAAGAATCTTGTCCTTTTTTTCTACAGACTGTGAGAGCATTATGCAGACACTGCTTTGCCACTGAGCTTCCAGCTGATTGAGAAAGAGATCAGAGAATTTTGCCACAGAGCTCAATGTCTCCCTCGTGCTTTTAATTTCCCCAAGCCGAATTAGAAATGCCATTCATTCAGTAAAAGCCAAATAGAAAGCCTGTGATTAAGCAGATGTATCAGTTAGTTTTTGCTGCATAACAAAGTACCCCCAAATTTAGAAAATGCTTAGTGGCATTTTCTAGCTTAGGTGGACACAGTGGTTATTGCTGTGGGGTTCGCCCAGGCTCACTCACAGATTTGCAGTCAGATAGTGGTCAATGGCCTTACTCATCTCTCTGCAGGTTGACTGGCTATTGGCTGGGATAAGAAAGGTGAGTGGACCAAGTGTCTCATCCCCTTGAGCTTATTCACCTGTTGAGGGGTTGCAGGTCTCCCAGAAGTAGTCAGAGAGGACACTGTGGGGTTCAGGACTCATGAAGCATCCCTGCACCCCTGCCCCTGGTCAGAACAAGTCACAAGGCCAGTCCAGATTCAAGGGATGGAGAAAGAAACCCCACATCTTGATGGAAGGAGTTACAAAGCATTGTAGCAACTTTTGCAATTCACCAGGTTAGATCTAATTTTTCTGTCTTCTGATTCTGTTTCCCTCAGGCTTCTGAGGACCCAGTCCCTGGAATGGTTCTACAATAATGTGAAGAGCCGCTTTAAGCGCTTTGGCAGCGCGAAGGTCCTGAAGAACCTGTACAGGAAACACCGGCTGGAGAGTGGCGCGTGCTTTGACATGTTAGGTACTCTGGCTGCTGAGGGTCTGCACGTCTTTGGTGGGCTGCTGGGGTAGAAGACTTGGTTTGTTCCCCTGCACACCCGCGTGGGACAAAAATTTGCTTACACAGCTGACACTAAGGAGGAGCAGAAACAGAAAGGCAGACTCGGTCAAGTTTCCTCTCCTTGTTCCAGCATCCCCCCTGGGCTAGAGCTGATGACCAAAATATTTCTGAACATTGTGGATATTTTCATTTGGATCCCTAGAAACTAAACATTCCTGAGCTGGCCCTGTGACCTCATGATTAAGGGAGCCAGATTCCTCCATGGCCAATCAAGTTCAACTCCCAGCTCTAACACGTTGAAAACATACTGGGTACATGTATGCACATGTCCAAAGTCCTGACAGTATTGAGAAATGGGGTGCAAGGGGTGGTGATGTGACCACGCTCCATGGGGCGGGGCTTTCTCCCTCTACTTCTGTCTTTCTCTCTTTCTCTGGCAAGTGCACACACACCGTGTCAAAATTTTTTAAATAATAAGAAAACAAAAAAGAAAGGACAATTCTTGATCATTATCCCTAAGTCCAGTTATAACATTGGAAAGTGACTTTCATTTGGTTCAAGAGAGACTAAGTCTGCTCTCAGAGGATGTGTGCTTGATCCTAGTCTCTTACTCTAAAATTGTATTCTGACCAGGCCCAAATTATGGGATAGCTAGAAAGTTTCAGCTTCTGAGACCAGCAGGTGGTGTGGTGGTTAAGGCACTGGACTCTCCCTCATGGCAGACCACTGTTCACATCCTGGACCTGGCAACTTGCTTTCTCACTTTCTCTCTCTCTAGTTAAATTAAAATAAATGAATGGATAAATAAAATTAAATAAATATTTTTTAAAAAAAGGAAAGAAAGAAAGTTTCACCTTCCTCCCAAGAAGCATGAAGGACAAATTTTCCCTGTGTTATTTTTATACAGTTAAGACAACCAATTTAATTAGAATGAGAAAACATAGTTTCTAGTTCTCTTAGACTAGCCAGTAGAAAGGGAAGGGCTG